TAACCCTAATTGCAGCAATACTCTTAAACGTACTTGATCCCTAGACACTTTTGATGTGTGTATTTAATATAAATGAAATACTTATTGCGAAAAGCCAAGAAAAAAATACTGTTAATTAAAAAAACATACCCATGTGATATGTGTATCCTAAGAAGGTAATAATAAATGTATGTTGGCACAGCTTCACATGCCCTTAAACATGTTAGGATTTACTTGGGACCATTCTTGTCCTAAGTAAAAGTTGAATTTAGTGAGTAATTAAGACACATTATTCACCACATGGACTACTGAATAATTCTAGATAATTTCAGTTTTTGATAAACAATACATACACAAACAAACTAGTGGAGTAATTTCACAAAAAAAAAAATTGAATATCAATTCAATAAAAATTTAAAACAACACAGACATACGGGAAAACCAGATTTCTAATCTATGGGCTGGACTTTTCAGGTAATGCAAAATGGTATGGATGATGATGATCTTGCCTCCCATGTGTTTATTTTTATATTGAGAAATTTAAAAAGTTAGGATTATATGGATATAATTGAAGTGACATATTAGCTATCGAAACAAACAATTGATGTTTTGGTTAACCATGTGTACTTTGTTTACTATTGTACTTAGCTTTATACTAAAGTGCTGGCTGGTGTAAAAGAACAGTCTAAAAAAGGGATTAACCACTGCTACTTGGCACTTTGAGCAACTTTTAATTAGTTGACTCCTTATTTGCACAATTAATAAAATTTTTAAATACCCAAATTGAAAAATTCACTGTCACGCATCCTAGACACACCCAGTGTCTCTAATGATTTTAGGAAAACTGAAATAAATTTAGAAAAAAATATTATACAATTTTTTAAACAGAGTTGAAAATACAGCTGCGAGTTAGAGACACTGTGTGGCTCTAGAACATTCACACATTCTCACAAATAACCCTCAATTCACACTTTTATTTCTCAATAATTTTGAGAAAAGTTAAGGTTCAAAAGGGAGTTTTGATGATTCATAGAAATCAGCACATAAGTCTTGTGAAATGATTGTAATTATAATAATTTCAAATGCAATTTTCCTGTAGCAATTCTTCCTCCATGTTATATTTTTACCTTAAAATATTTTCCTAGCATCTTATTATTACAATTTAAGAAACAATAACAAAAGATATTTAACAAAAAAGTCCGTTGCCAAAGAACAATAACTCACATAACATTCTATTTTAAACTTGAAGTTAACTTTATGTAAAATGTATATTAAACATTCATTACCTAATTGGTACGCTAATAAGGACAGCACGTCAAGCTTGTCACTTAAGATATAAATAGAACAAAAGACATAAGTTCAAAAGAACAATCCAAAGTGTCAAAGTTGATGTGCTCTTGATTGTACAGTCAAGGACACATCAAGCTTGACACGTTGTATTTTGGACCGTTCTTATCGGAAGCGATAAGAGTTGGATTCAAGTTTTAAGTGTAAAGCTTGATGTGCTTTTGACCCTGTACCTATATATTTTATGACATTTATTTTAATTTTTTTAATATGATACTTTAAGCTAAACAAATTTTCTAACAAATAAAATGTATAACTAAAACATTTTACATACATAACTACAAAGTGTACATATAATTCAAAAAGATTTTACAGAAACCTCATTCTGTCAAAGATGTTATCATAACATTACGTCAACATGATATATCACATGTTTTTCTATTGTGTCTGAAATCAATTTCAAATCTGTAAAGTGAAATACAAATTATAATGCTGCTATCTTGTTTCCAATATAGACAAAATTCTTTTCACTAATAAAAATACACTCATTTGATTTAAAATTGACATTGTATTGATAACCATATGAAGAAAGAGTGTGATTCCATTTTCAAGAATTTTAATATAATCTTTACACTAATAATGTGGTTGACTTTTTTAAATCACAATGTACACTTGCATGAATGGTGTTAGAACTCTTTTCTCATGTAAATGGAAAAACACCATGGCACTTGCGCAGGATGGCAGGCAGCACTACATAGGGCAAGCAGCCACTTTTGCTTTATAAAGTCTTGGACACTTTATAAAGGAAAAGTGGCTACCCAGTTAGTAACTAGTGCAAGCAAGAGCAAGAATTTGCTGGGGCAAGCACTATGTGGTGCTACTTAGGGCCTGCTAGTGCAGGTTGTTTAGTAACAAGGCCCACCTGTAAAACATCATCAATGCAACAGGTGTTACAACTGTATTTACAAGGGCACATGAACAATCAATTTGCATTTTTATAACCAAGTATGAAACAGCAACAAAATCTATTTTTGATGACATACATGATACAAATTGGAGACTTCCCACAATATGGAAATTTAAACTGGCTAATCAGTATATAGTCCTGCTGCATTGTTAATATTATATCAAAATTATTTTACAAACTTCAGAACCTCACTGAATAGAACAATAAACCGTATGAACAGAATTTGTATTCAATGAGATTCCAAAGTCGAAATGAAAAATTCTTACCTTCTCGTATGCGTTTGCTTAGTGGATACTCGCTGTCGTCGGCACTTCGTTTTCTAGCGTTACTTTTGGGTGACGCTGACGCCATCCCATCAGCTTGGGGCATCTCCAGCATTTCGCAATCTGTAGTTACATGGGAGTTTTCCAATGTTTTTGGGTCATGATAGCCATAATAGCAATTTGTAGATACGTGGATATTTTGACATTGACCCATATATTGATTGGCTTCAGCACAAATTGGAGCGGGGCGCATGGCGTCAAAATTATTTCTAGCGTCTTGCATATGGTACAAATCGATGCTGCTGGCCGGCATTTTTGTGAGCGTCGAGTGTAACGTTTGGCAGCGGACGATTAACTTCGAGGTAATCAAACGATTTCACAGCCACAGTAATATGTATTTATACAATTAAAGTTCTGCTAACTGACGCCACGACAGGAAAGAAAACGAGAACGGCGGTAACAAACGAAACTTGCGAAACACGCCGAGAAAAACTGACAGCTAGAGGGAATGAGTGACTTGCATGATTTTCGAATGACAACTTTAGAAAAATTACCAATCATTCATTCACTTCCGGTCAAAGTGTTGTTAATTTTCCGAAAAAATTTAATTAGAAATTTTTCCGGAAAAATTCTCGAAAAATTGGAAAACTATGATTTCGAAGACTCATATTACGTTTAGAAATATCTTTCGAAGTTTTATTTAGCATGAATTATTAAATAATCTTGTGTTGGAATATGTCCATAAACTGCGTTCAGTGATACGCTGTGACATCTTCGCGCACCCTCTAGTATTTTATATAAATACTGTCACTTTGAAGTTCTATGTTCTAGTTGTAACCATTCCAAGTGGTTCAAATAAAACTAGCATATTTTACTCTTTTAATTACTACAATTTGTATAACTAAAGGCACCTAGAGAAAAACGAGATTTAAAATGATTTCACAACAACGAAAAAGCCTTTTTAATAACTCCTATCTCCTAGCATCGTTTTCGTTCTCTTGTTGGGTAATTTAAAATACGTTTATACCTTATTTGTAGATGTTATTTTTATTATAATATAGGTTTTTAATTTCTTAATTGTTTGTTACATGCTGATGGCTCTCTAACTAATGCTCACCAGATACATAAAATAATAATAATTGTAAAATGGCAATATAATTTTTTTAGAGGAATTCAAACAATATGAAACTTTGATATCGTATGCTGATATATACCTTTAATAGCTACTCACTTACTACTCGCCTACACAACATACCAGACACTTTTTATTTAAATTCCATACCCTTTCGAAAATCTGTAAAGGAAGCATTCATTAGCCTGCGTTGCAGTCCGCCTTCCCGTCCGCTGCGTATTACAGAATTATGAATGTAATTTCAGCGTGCAAGTCACCTGTAATTCTACAATGCGTCCTGAGAGACTCCATACGTGCGCCATATGCAGGATAGTGTGTGAGCTGTCTACTGCCTGCGTGTCGGATTGCTCACCACACACTATCTTGCGTATGGCCCATGTATAAAGTCTCGTAGGACTCATTGCAGGATAGCTTGCACGCTGCGACTACATTTTTCTTCCTGCATTACGCGGCAGACTGGGATGCAGGATAATAAATGCCATCTTTAATTCTGCTTTCCTAACCTTTTTAATGGCTAAATGCTGAAGCAAAGCCATTAATGATAATAATAAAAAAAAACAAATTCGACAAAATAAATGTTTACAGAGGAAACGCAAACGGTAGAAGGATGCAAATATTATATGGCAACATTCTTTTAAAATGTCACCACGTCTCAAAATATCGAGTTATGTTATCGAGGTAAACTTTGCGTTTTATGTAATATTTATTGCCCAAATCAGTTGCAGATTATTGCTAACAAGTAGGAAAATTTATTAAAAGTGTAATTTTGGGTAATTGTTGTGGTAAACATCTGTACATTGGCTGTAACTCCATACGTCATCCAGTTGGTCGTCATCAATTAATTTTGACTTTTTTTCCTGATATAGTGTGTTAATGGGTAATAAAACGAGTTGTTTGTGTTATTTTTTTTGCAGAGGCTGTCTAAAATAGACACTCATCAAAGTACAGGATGTTTGTACGGATTAATGTACGATGGGACATTGCTCGTCGTCGGGTTAAGTTTAGAATTGTTTGAGCATGAGAATAACTCGTACAACCAACTGCTGCTCAACTTACCTGCTGAGATTGAGCTGTGCGGGGCGTTAAAGCTTGGCGAAACGCTCAGTATTGAGTCAAACATTAAGGAGATATTACAGGTATTGTGTTCTTATTTTGTAGAAAAGTTGAGATAGCTACAGTGTTATATTAAAATATTATATTTAAGTATTAATTTTAGACCTACGTCATGCTTTGGTAATGTTTTACTTCGAAATATTTCAGGATGTTGATATAACCGACAACCCATTGGTCATAATATTAAATGAGAAAAAAGACATGAAAGCTCATTTTTTAGTTCATGATAAGTTTGAAGAGACACAGTATGATGTATTCTCTGCTGAAGATCTTTGGAAACAGTTCTTACATGTGAGGTTAAACACAATACTGCCACTGAGCTGTGAAGCTACCATTACAGGTGTTAAAAATATCATGCAGAATAAGAGGAAAAAGGTATTTGTGCTTCAAATAAGTTTAATATAAGGTTCAGCTGTTCAGCTCAGCAAAGTTAAATTGGAACCTTTTCCAAATTTAACAACAAGTGTTACAGGCCTTATTAAAAGCAATAAAAAAAATGTAAGAAAATGATGAATTTTTCTTTCATTTTTCGTATTGTGTATGTATACTTCTTGTATTGCTGCAACACCTGTAAGTATGTATGTATACAACTTGTAATGTCACCCTTGCTTTTATTTATCTCATCATGTGTTGTAGAAACATAATGTATCCTTAATGATTTTGGTACTGTACTGTCCACACAGTATCTCTCTAAAGTACAGTTCTGTTGTCATCAATCATTTAAAAAAAAATTAATTTATTTATAAATTTGTACCAAAATGATTAGTGACATCACGTGTTTTGGGTGGTGTGACAGGTTAATTGTGTTATTTACTGACTAGTACACAATTTTCATCCTTATTAAATTTGTTACAAAAATATTTTTGTTTATGTTTATTTGTTTAAAGATAATCAAGGAATAAGTGGCATGTAATAACTCAAATTAGTGCTATGCATATTAAACAAAACTTACATTTTTAACAATGAGTTAATGATGGAAGTGTTAACGGTATTTATTTGCATAAAGATCTTCATTTAAATTATAAAATTGCCTTTTTCACAAATTGTGTAATAATTATTTGCATATTATTATACTCGGTAGGTTATGTGATTGTGGTTAATTAAATATAAATGCATACTAATAAATGCCAGACAAGGATACCAATAATAGTCTTAAACTAGGCAGTTCCGTATACTATAAGAACCAAGACAACAGAATCCACGCAGTGGATGAGAACATCCAAACCAGGCATATTACATGGGATTTTAGTAACGGGAGCAAGCAATAATGTGAGCATTACTGCATTCCAGTTTTGAAGAGTAAGGGTGCTTGTGAAATTACAGGCACATGAGACTTTTCAACTTATGTCTCAGGGTAATGGGCGCAGATCTTTGCAGTTTATAGATCTGAGAGGTACTGCAACTGTTATGGCAGTGCCCCTCAGATTTTCAAGCACTGTCACTGCGCCCGTCACCCTGAGACATAAGTTGAAAAGTCCCATATGTCTATAATTTCACCGCATTTCAAGTTTATTGTTGTGAAGTCTCAAGCTAGCAGTGCTATTCCAGTTTGGTTTTAGGTTATATAAGAAATAATTATAAAATACTGAGTGCATGTGTATTTGTTGTCATTAGACTAATTTATCAAATATCCTAAGACTGTATCTAAGCAGTGTTTACCTGTACATTTATAACATCACTCCATCACAACAATACGCAATTTTTTATGCTGTTTTTGTTTTTTTTAATATTCCTTACACTTTTTGTTTCATTCCAAGAAAATATTGGAAGTTATATAATTTAAAAGTATAAGAAAATATATTTTTTTTATAGAGAAATTAAACTCTTGTTACAGATAGCATCAGGTCAAGTGTCATTTCACATTGATGGCACATCAGTGTACTTGTTTGGAGTAGCATCAGATGTGGGTTTAACTGGGACCAGTACAGATGCCACTGTAGGTGAACTTGTGGACTCCATGAGCCCTGAACAGCCTACAAAGAAGAAAAAGCACATTACTAGTTCTGTTGTAAGTGTTACGGTATAATAACAGGGCGATAACTTTTTATTGATTGTAACAATCAATAAACTCTATCTAAACTCCACTCTGTTGAACATTGCTATAGGATACAAAAATGTATGATGTTTAATATTTCATATTAAAGTCGAAGGTATATTGTTTATTATAATTATTAATACAAAGATCGAAACACTCAGAAAAAATTCGATCCGGCCGGATTCGAACCGACGTCTTCTAGCTTACCATGCCAACTAAGCCACGCAAAGAACCAGCGGACCTCACGAATTTTTTTCTATGTCACCAGCACATTGTGTGTTTGTATTTGGTTTTTTCAACGACTTTTTAGTCGTAGCGCCATCTATGAGAAATCTATGAAAGATTTATCACCCAGTTAGTACCTTTACAGTTACTAGTCCTGGCGAGAGATGTCGCTATTCGCTGTATTTTTTTTTTATTGAATTGATATTCAATTATTTTTTGTGAAATTACTCCACTAGTTCGTTATAATTATTAATACAAAGATCGAAACACTCAGAAAAAATTTCTTCGATCCGGCCGGATTCGAACCGACGTCTTCTAGCTTACCGTACCATACGCTATACCAACTAAGCCACAAAACCATCCAGCGGACCTCACGAGATTTTTTCTATGTGCTTGCGTCGTACCTTTGTGTTTGGTTTTTTCAACGACTTTTTAGTCGTAGCGCCATCTATGAGAAATCTATGAAAGATTTATCACCCAGTTAGTACCTTTACAGTTACCAGTTCTGGCGAGAGATGTCGCTATTCGCTGTATTTTTATTGAATTGATATTCAATTCAATAAAAATTATCGGTTCGAATCCGGCCGGGTCGAAGGAATTTTTTCTGAGTGTTTCGTCTCTTTGTATTAATAATTCTAACAAACTAGTGGAATAATTTCACAAAAATAATTGAATATCAATTCAATAAAAATTAAAAGGGTATATTGTTTAGTTAACAGAATTTTAATTTATTAGTCTTAAGAAGATTTAATGTTTACAATTCCAGTTTCATAAAGTTTGCCTGACTTTTGTCATTTGTTAAAAAATAACTGCATTTGACTTCCATTTCACCAGAAGGAAAGTGACGATGGAGCATTCACACCTAAGTAATGGCCATTCACTCAGTAATGCGATTTCACAACATAGCTGTTCCCATATAAATGTGGAAGCAAAACGCTTCATGCAAATCCTTGGAATAACCACAATATAGGGTTGGAATCTCAGCCTATGTCTAGTCCCCTAGTGATAGAAAGGGGAAGGCGGAATTAAATTGTGCAATTCCCTCGCACACTCTCCGTGATTTTCTTCTTCCGCCTTTAGCACCCACTACTGAATGTAGGTCTCCTCATTTCCACGGTATTCTCTTTGATCTCGGGCCATGCGCATCCAGGTCTTTTTGGTTACCTTGTTTATATCGTCCACCCATCTAGCTTTCTGGTGATCAACACTTTGGGTCCGTCTTATATCCTGTACAATACCAATAAGCAGGCAATTTACAGAGGTGTTTAAGGTACCGAAGTCTCGCCTCTACTAATTCCGTATCACCTATAAGCTTCTTGGCCTGCATGTAGTATTATTATTATATATATTATTAGTAGTATTATACTATTAGTAGGGAGTATGTATTGGATTGAATTTTATTTTTTAATTCTTTCCAGGAAATAGTGCCTGTAAATCTAGTATTGAAAACAACAAAGGATATATTGTCAGATAAGCTTGTAAAAACAGCTGTTAAAATGATGACCACACAAAGGAAACGTAAGTGATGTTTGTACTTTCTGCCTTTTCGCACAATTATAGGAATAGACAATTAATTCCCTGTATTGTGAGTAGCAGAGTAACCATTACTCTGAAGCACTATACAAAACACCCAGGATAGTATTATTGTAAAATATTTATTGTAATTTATAGCTGCATATTGCATCAGCATGCCTTTGCGAGTGGACACCCTGGCTATGATACACCGCAACACAAAGCTGCTGGATTTGTACACAGTGCTAGTAGAAGCAGCTTGCCGCTCCCTACGGTTGTTGGAATGTGTACTGATAGAACAACTAGGTTTGTATTAAAACTGCTACAGTATTGTATAATTGATAAAACTTTTAAATTCTTGGAAACTAAAGAATAATTGTTTTGGTGTTTTTAATTATTGCATTTGACATTTTAATTTTAATAGCATCAGTATGGGAATGTTATTCCTAAATTGTGAAATTAGAACTGTAAATTTGTTAGCTAACAAAGTTGAATACAACCATAATATATGTTTTTATCAGCACATCACCATACATTGCATAAAATGACCTTTGTGTTTAACTCGAATGGCAATATATCTTGAATGAAACAAACAGATACAATTATAAGCTTTATTATGGGAACAGGTCAAGAAGGAATTGGGGATGGTGCAGGATTACGCTTGCCAGAGACTTATCATTACTTACCGCAAGAAATTGGCCATTTTATTACACGTATAGTACCCAAAGGAATCCCAGATGAAAGCATGGGTAAGTTAAAGGATACAATTCAATATAAAACGCAATGAAAAAACAAAACGAAATATAATTCAATTTCACATACCATGTGGTTCAATGGTTACAAAACACCCCTTCATATTTCCCCTGGGAAATGTAAAGAGCGATTGTTGAGATAATTTACTTGTAGATTTCCTTTTCTAAAGCTGCCTGGGTAAATACCTATTTAATATAAATATAAAGCAGCATTGTAACATATTGAATAGCATGTGAGGCAATCATAAGTACTAGAGATTGAAGTTATAAACAACGCGCGCACACTCATAGCCCCGCACTAGGGAAATCTTGTATCGCAGGTGCCATAGACACACACATAGACAACCACAAATTACATCCAAACTCACTAGAAAAATAAATGTAGGCCATACAAATATTTTTGTCGGCTCGGGAATCGAACCCGGGACCTCTGCGTGGCAGTCCACGGAGTTCGGCCACTGAGGCAGTTAAAAGTTATGACTCACGGCATGCCCTGCCTGTGAACTTATTATTTCCCGAACGCTATAACTTGGACATTTTCAAGGCCAGTGCGAATAGGCATTATTTAGATGTGCATGCTACATCGTCGACCTCATCGTCACTTTCCATCAGGTGAGAAGGAGGTCAAATGCGCACTAACATTTAGTTTTTTATTTATTTATTTTATTTACGAAAATGTCACCAGGCTGAGTTTATTACTACTTTCGATTAGTAGATCATCTGAATGTTTACCATTTTCAATGCAATAAAAATAATAAAATAACTTAATTGTTTGAGAGGTGTCTGCTACATAGGCTGACCCATGTATTACAGGGAAATTCTGTTGTCCCTGACCACCAATTTGGATTTAGAAAAGAGCACTCAACTGTAGAACAAGCCCACAGAGTATGCAGAACAATAAGAAAGTCATATGACAAAAAGAATACTGCTCATCGGCTTTCCTTGACATACAGCAGGCCTTTGATAAGGTTTGGCACAAAGGGTTGCTATATAAAATATAGTCTTTACTGGCACACAGATTCTATGGAGTCCTGAGCTCATACATTAGTAACAGAACATTTCAAATTAAGGATAGCACACATTAGGATTTCATGAAATCTCTGCAGGCGTTCCACAAGGTTCCGTACTTGGACCTGTTCTGTACACACTCTTCATAGCCGACCTGCCACAAAACCCAAAGGCCACCGTCGCTACCTTCGCTGATGACACGGCGTTACTAGCTTCAAGTAAATGTCCAGTTGAAGCATCCCGACTCCTTCAAAGCAGCTTAAACGAAGAAGGAGGATTGGCTAGCAAAATGGAGAATTGCTGCTAGTGAAACTAAATCAGTACAGGTCACCTTCACTCTCAGCAAAGAAGACTGCCCACTGGTCACCTTAAATGGCGCTCAACTCCCACACCAGAATACAGTGAAATACCTGGGAATGCATTTGGACCGCAGACTTACCTGGACGAAACACATCCAAACCAAAAGAGATGAGATCAATTTGAGATTCAAAGGACTCCTCTAGCTGATTGGACGAAATTCTAAACTGGCCATTGATAACAAAATCTCTAATCTCAAATAATTTCGAATTTACAAAGCTATACTAAAGCCAATTTGGTCTTATGGCATACAACTCTGGGGCTAGTACCTCTAATATACGATATCCGACAGATGTCAAATGTGCCATGGTTCATAAAAACAACGGAGATCCACGAATTTCTTGACATGCCCACAGTTAGAGAAGAAATAGCTTCCTACAGTGATAAATACAGAACTCGGCTAGAACATCACCCAACTAGCCAAGCAGCTCACCATGCCTGAAAGCCTATGCCTAAAAGCATACGACGACTAAAAAAAGGCGTGACATCCATGACGACTTTGAGTCAGTAAAATACCTGACTACACAATCTCTAGGGCAGCGCTCCACTGGGAGTAGCACCCTTTCCATTATGAACTTCATACAACCAATCTGTTTTTAGCCAGGAAGGCTGATCGTAGGATAAAGAAAGGAAAAAAAACTTACAACTTAATAAAAAATAAATTTTTCGTCTTATCTGTTTACGTGTTCGTACCGCGGTCTCCTCATGGTAACTAAAACGCATATGGATGTCCTCGATAATACAAATGATATGAGCCCAAATACAAGGTAGCTGCCGTACACTGTTAAGGAATTCCTAGAGCTGATCTGATGGAAATGCAGACAAATGCTCTCATTTGTCTGCATTTCTATTTGATCAGCTCTAGTCACCATAACGTTTTATTTTCATTGGAATTACATCTGCAACTGCAACAAACTACTAAACCAAGCAGAGGTCCCGGGTTCGATTCCCGGGCCGGGAGAAATATTTGTATGACCTATATTTATTTTTCTTGTGAGTTTGGATGTAATTTGTGTTTGTTTAGGTATGTGTCCTTGGCACCCGCGATGCAGGGATTCCCTGTTCTGTGGTTTCCCTAGTGCGTTGCTGCGAGTGTGTGCGGTATTGTATCCATGTCACAAGTTTTATTGAAATTAACGGAAAGTGGGTAAAATTCATAAACCGGATTCATCCCTTAATTTGCCACCCTTAAAGGTGGAATACTTTCTTCAAATTTGAATGGGACCATTATTGAGGCACCCCCATTCCAACAAGAAATAAATCATCGATATCGGTTCACAAATAAATGTCGGAGTAATCGCGTAACACACAAAAAATCGCGTAAAATACGGTCTAAATGAGAACTTCCGTTTTTTGAAAGTTGCTTAAAAAAACGAGGAGTAGGATAGCAGCATTTGCGTGTGTTATTTATTTTTTTTATTTTTATAAAGCAGTGAATTTGAGAGATCTTAAAAACATCTTAATATCATCTCTTTAACTATTCATTCAGTTTTTCAATGTGTTTTGTATTTGACAAATAAGTTGTTAAGATTATCGTAAAACGAATGTACCTAAATACAGTTTTGACGAACATTGTTTACAGATAGAGAACGCCGTTTACTCCATGATCAGTTAGCTTTACCATTGGACAGGCCATTTTTCCGCCGAGGCAATGCGTACCCATACAACAGTGGAGGGAAATTGGTGAATCCTCACGAAGCAGTGACTATGCCACCCACAAATAATGAAATTAACGTGGCTTTAGTACGAGGAAGATATACATACCATCATTATATGCAGGACAACTTCAACGACGACGGGTGGGGTTGTGCTTATCGTTCAATGCAGACCATATTTTCATGGTTTAGGTTAGTATCATATTGATGGTTTTCTATAATGACACAAAAAGTTAGTATATTAGTGAACATTAGTGGGCGTGCCACACCAGCATACTAATAAAATGCCTAAACATGGGCGCCACCAATTTGTTACTATAAACATATACTATCATATAACATACTATTCAGAATACTGTTAGAGCTGTTCCTAGTCCTCTGCAGTAAGGATGCGGTCTTCTTCCTAATCGTTGCATAGAAATCGTCTGTTTGCATATCTGCAAACATATGGACGCAATGCAGAAACGAGAAAGGCCCAACAGCAGCCCGAATCCGTTATTAAAATAAAAAAACAAAAAACAATAGGATTTTAATATATACACAGTTGGAACTGTCTAATTGTTATTATGGTGACAATGGTATTGATAGGTGTTGTTCAAGGTAATACAGAGTAAAAAAGAAGAATCCAATAGAATTTTGGAACACAAGTTTTTACATATTTTTTTATTTATGTAAATTACAAAAAACAAGGGTGTCCCAAAATTTTTTATTATGAATATAATTTTTAATTTTCCATATATGGACATATTTGTTGCAAATGAATTCCTAATTTCCGGCATAAGTTATTCAGTGTCATGGGCACCCTTATACTTTATTGATTAATAGAAATACTGGTGGAAATGAAACGTATTTTTTCGGACCTAACGGCGCGTTTCCATTATGTTCTACCGTTTTATTTATCGTTGGACGACTGCCGCGTCTAGCCTGTTGCCATATCACGACTATCTGTCGTGCCTGTCGTGGACGTTTATTTTATCATTGAACGACTATCGTGTCTAGCTGTTCCCACTAGCCTTGTCGTTTGCAAGACAGAATCGTTTGAAGCTGCGATTATTTGTCGTCACATTTTTATCGTGACGTTTTATTTATCGTCGTCGGACGGTATAGGTTAAAATGCTCGACTGTCGTCTGGACATAATGGGAACGCGCCCTCAATGTAAATAAAAACATGTGTAACAATCTTGAAAACCTAGGAACTCGAAAAATATTAGTCTCTTGCTTACCGTGTATTAGTACCAACTTCTGAATTCTGGATCATCCAATTAGTAATTGTGGTCAAGAAAACAAATTAGCCACTGCAGCGCCTCTATAAGCGTCTAATTTGAATTACATTGTCCAACTGTCCGCATGTTAGGAAAAAGAATTGTTTTGCGAATTACAAAAATGTTAGTTATATTTTGTTCCATTTTAGGTACCAAGGATACACAACAGTAGAAATACCAACTCACAGGGATATCCAACAGTGCCTTGTTAACATAGGGGATAAACCATCCTCCTTTTTAGGTTCTAAGCAATGGATAGGGTCCACAGAAGTTATGTTCTGTTTGGAAACACTACTTGGAGTACAGTCGCGGATAATATTTGCTAACAGCGGAACTGAGCTACAGAGCTACGCACCAGAACTTGTTCATCATTTCCAGAAACATGGAAGCCCTATTATGATAGGTAAATAGAAAGTTTACACTGTGTATACTGTATTAACTTTAATCTGTCTTTTTTTTAATATGGAGTAAAATGACATTTACAGGGTTACCAGTTTCATAAAATGTTAAATGGTCAAGTAGTTGTTGTCCACAGTTTTATTGATAGATTGTGAACGAAGGTAGCCCAAGCTTTTGAATCGTTCTTTTCGGAAATTGCTGTGAACGCTACAGAATCATTAAATTCCTCCCCTTCTCTTGCTATTGTTCTCCTAAAGGAAAATGTTAATGTTTGTGGCAGTTTATTTAATTTCCGTCATGTTAATCCACAAGACATCATAAAAGCTTTTAAATCAATACATGTTAAAAAAACTGAAGCTCTCTGGGGCATATCAACTAAAGTTATAGACTCAGTTATTGATCTAATTTCCCCACATTTAGCTGTAGTTTTCAATAAGTGCGTTGACGAAGGTGTTTTTCCCGATTTAATGAAACACAGCAAGGTTATTCCCTTATTCAAAAGTGGTAGGAAAGTTGATCCTAGCAACTTTAGGCCCATTTCAATCTTACCAGCTTTAAGTAAAATATTCTAAAAGGTTATGCTGACTCAATTACTGTCCTATTTCGGTAGGAATCATATTTTTCATAGTGAACAATAAGGGTTTACTCCTAAGTTTAAAAACTACATTAAAAATATTTTCATTGAAAAGTCATATTACAAAATTGAAGACGTGTTAGATAAGGATGTATGGAAAGATGATACGGCTCCAGAATCCACACAAATTTGAATCAAAGTGTGTTCCATAGCATTTAATTTTATTTGAAAAGAGCAATCCCTAGAGTTTCTTGCTCGTTCTTCTCAGGGAAATCAGCGTAGTGAATGAGCAGTAGCTTAATGTAATGTAAATGTGATGTTTTCAAGTGTAAATTTATTTTACCTATGGAATAAATGATCTTTGACTTTGACTTTGGTAAATATGCCAAAAATGTACGAATTGTGAATGTTACGACATTCTAATTATTACTAATTGCGTTATTGCCTTGTTCATTGTTATATTGACAGATGGCCTACTAGTATTGAAATCAATTTTTGTTCATATACATTTTAACAAGAATAGGCAGAATTGTTATATTGAATTAAAATTAAAAAGTTTAAAGTCTTTTGTTTGTATTTTGAAGAGACATAGTTAGTTCTAAACACAGTATATGTAAGTATGTATGAATTTAGAAAAATTGACACTTCAAACAAAACATATTCGGCTATTTATTACATAAGCGTGGCCAACATTCAATCGATAGAATATTGTACCGACTGCAATCATTAGATGTCTGCAAGTGGGCAACACTTTTGCGTAATGAATGGAAATGTTCTCCATCCTAAAAAAAAAGACAGATTGTACATTCACATGTACATAATATTACTTTGAAAAATGTGTGAAAGGTCGACTCGTATTTATACGATTAAGTAAAAAATACATATTTTCATCTGTTTTTCTTAGTAATAAGAACGTCCTCCGTAAAATTTAAGGTTCAATTTACATTACCGCGAAAGGGAGTGAAAGCGAATTTTTTAACCAGAGCATAATGAACTTGATGTCAATTGTACGACCTACAAGCACGACGAGCCGTAAAACGGTCTGATAATTCTCGCGCAGTCTCGGGAATCCCCGCAGCTATATACCATCTCGTATATAGTTTCTGTTTTACACAATTCACATAAAAGTTAACTGCTGAATGGTTCTGGGGAAGTTTAACGCGCCGTGCAAAAGTGCGTCTTGTTTTGGATACAAGCAACCGGCAACTATGAAGAAGAAAATAGAATGTTCACTTCTAGTTGTCGGTTGCTTGTATCCAACACAAGACACACGTTTGCGCGACGCCTTAGTAAAACTGTCGTTGAATTAATATAAATTTGGTTATATATAAGATTTTTGATCCAACTGCATGCAGACGACAAGACGGTCCCAAGTGTCATAGTATAATTTGTCGTATTATAAGTGTACTTATACAGGCTGTATATTTGAAAGTGAGACATATTGATACATGCCGTAGTAAATCACGTTACAATTTAACATAGACTAAAATAAAATTTGGATATGGGATAGAACAAAAAATAAATCAACAAATGTGTTTTGATGTGTACATAGGAATAAACCGATTTCCTTTACGCTTGATTTCGAGTGCAATGGGAATACTACCAAGCGAGCGCCGAGTGAGACAGCAACAATAACAATGACTTCGTATCTCCCTTCCTACTTAGAACCAACAAAGCACCTCATTTCTCTAGAAAATAAAAACCACAAAGTAAACTAAGTTACTCACCTACGCATTATTATTTATGTTATGATGAAAAAAGCTGTTATCGAAATGATTACGTTTTAGTTTATGCTAATTATTTTTTACTTCTGAACTATCGTCGAAATGTTTTACGTACTAAAAAAAGATAAGTTTATGATTTAGTAACTAGTTATAATTGAATAAGAATTGAGATTTTTAGCGTCGTTAAAAATGTGAAATCAGATTATTTACAATGATTACAATTGATTTTTTAGTTATTTACACTTACGCGATACGGAACTGGTGTTCAAAATGTCCTCCGTTTTCCACAATGCATAGTCTAGCACGTTGTAGTAAATTTTGTTTTAAATTGTTCAAGACAAACACATTTTGCCTCACAGTATAAAATGCTGAGATAATCCTCTCATGCAACACTTCGACACTATTCACCTCCTCCGCGTAAACTCCGATTTGGGAACATTCCAATAGCTCGCCTTACACTATCACCAGTTATTGCGTAAAGTAGCACCATCTCAGTCAATTCGACGTTAGAATAAATATCCATTTTGCGCGGGCGAGAGGCGCGTTCGCTGGGGTGCAGCCATCGGGCGAGCGGAAGTACAAATAATGTACGTGTCTTCGCTAGGCCAAGGTCGCGCGTGCACTGTCTCTCCAATTTTCAGATGCGCCCGCGCCCCCACTCTCGCTCGCCGTTGCGTCGGAACAATAATAGTGATGTGCATAGATTTCGATAACTAATGTTGTTCACAAAAAATAAAAAAATATTTTTTTGTAAAGTTCAAGTTCATTAGTTTGTTATTTCTTTGTGTTCAGAATCAGGAATGTAACGCACTCTATAAGTATGTCCCACTTTCAAATATACAGTCTGTATATAATTTGTCGTATTACAGGGCAAATCCCGCCTGTTCGGCGCGTCAATGCTTGCACTTCGCTCGGAGCGTAGGGTTGTCAAATTATTATTCTAATTGCACCTACAGATTGTAAACATAATTTGAAAAAATTAAGGTGTTCATCACGTATTTTAAAATACCTTTTGTTAAATGCAGTACTTACGTATTGATATTTTCATACTAGCGTCGCGGATTGGCATCTCTTTATGGGAGTATGATTATGAAATAGAAATAAAATGCTGAACAAATTCAGAAGAATTTGAGGCACTCTTTCAAACAAGCGTAAACAAAACAAACACGTCTACTATTTGATGTAATTTTTTAACACCGTCTTTTGTTTTTGTGCGTCCGTACATGGCGTGCTTGTATTATCATACTATGAGACGGGCGACTGAACAACGCATATCATATAGGGGAAGATTTATATTTTTATCGTAATTTCAGGTGGAGGAGTATTAGCCCACACAATTCTGGGTATTGAGTACAATTCGGCGACAAACGAGACGCGTTACCTGATTCTCGACCCGCACTATACTGGTGGCGAGGATTTGACCACCGTCGTCAACAAAGGCTGGTGTGGTTGGAAGAATTCAGAGTTTTGGAACAAAACTGCCCACTATAATTTATGTCTACCGCTGACGAAACCTGCTATATAGAATATCGTATTTGATTTAAAGCTTGTGAATTTCACTTACCACAGCTCCTTGAATTGCTCATTTTATAGAAACACGTCTCGTGTTCCTGTTGCTACTAGATTCGCAAACATTAGTGCTGTCCTCGATTTATTCCATTGAAAAGGATAGCTGTAATTTTTATAAGGCGTATCATAATCCGAATCGATCGAATTATGAACTGTGATAAATTGGCATTAAGGCCTCCTGATTCCACAAGATTGCATTTTTCTTTAATGTGAAAATATCTTAATTTGAATTCGCCATAGTAATTTAAGGGGATAGGTTAGGATAAAATATTCTCAGGTCGTCATGGCTGACTCTATCATAATAATTTGCAACTATTGCGTTATCGGTTTGCATTTTGAATGAAATTGAATTGTTTTATTTAATTGGCATAACCATCTTGCGCACAGCACATTCGTCAACTTGTAAATGTATAACTTTAGTATCTATATTGTAATAAAATTAAGAATATACTGTCTTCTATGAAAGGTCATACTTGTTTCGCAATTTGATTTTATTAATGCACCGACCAGGCTTGACAACGTAAGTAAAACAGAGGCGCAAAGTATCGTGGATAATGTAACACCATATAAAGGTTGTAATTGCACTAATTTAAAATATATTATTTTTTGCATTTTTTGAACGATCAATTTCTCTGATCGCTTGTATTATGTGAAAGTATCAGAGGCATGTAAGTTTTAAAATGGAGTTGTTTATATTTTGTACCTATTAAATTATAATTCCATTTATGCTGATGGTTTTACTCGAATACAAGTATATTAAGCAAATGGAAATTATTATACACTAAAGCGTATTGGTGATGTCTTTAAAAAACGAATAAAATTCAGTTACTTTCAATAAGTGAAGAGCCGGTGCTCAATCGGTTGGTTGTTCCAATACCAAGAGAGAGAAAGCATTAAGGTGCTTTTCCACAGGCTAGGGGAAACGAGACGAGGATTGAAATTTGTATGATAAAATATTCTCTCCTAGCGTATTTTCAGACGAGACCTGAATTATACATATGTTGGTGTAATATTGGCATGCCTTATTTTAGCGTGATCATGGTCGAGTTTTTGAAATTTGACTAGTCAGATAAAAAGTCGCAATTTAGACCGGTTCTAGTCGCAAAAAACTAGATTTAGTTTGTCCGCCGTTCAAAAGCTATAAGGGTGTTTTACTGTCCACGCTGGAATAAGCTTATTCCAGCGACACAATTTCTCATCTCGAGAACCACAACACCTAGCTTAGATCTGGTTATACTGAAAAAAGTAGTGATTTAGTCGGTTCTAGTGGTAGGTCAATGGTTGTAGTCGTAAAAAACTAGATTTAGTCGTTACGCCGTTTTGAAGATATGGTCTTTCACTGTCCACGCTGAAATAAGCTTATTCTGGCGGCACCATTTTTTAATCTTAAGATTTAACCTAGCTTAGATCCAATTGCACCCAGAAAAAAGACGTGAATTATTCGGTTTTAGTCGTCTCTTAAATAAAGTCGAAAATCTTAAATCGTAGGTAACCACGATTTAAGATTTTCAAATAGGTGGTTTTTTGCAAAAAGCCTTGCAGAATTTTTAAAGTCAGCCAAGTAATTTACATTATTGGTATTTCTATATTTTAATTATACTGTCCATTATCCCACTGCGAGCTCGCGATAGCTATTGATGGTAAGGTAAATTGGATGAAAACAAAAAAAAAATAAAAAATAATTAAACTTTTTTATTTTATTTACATAAATACAAGCATTACCTGAACTTATGTTATATTCTTACAATTAGATTATATTACAATTAAATCACAGAAGTCTAGTTGAAACTTAACATACTTTATTATTTGTTAGGTAAATAGTGCAACAAGAATGTACTTCGTAAAACCTTATTTGTGAATTATAAAACGTATTTCAACAAAAGGGCGAGTATCTTTATAATATCAAGTGACGGGACGAACAAGTCGTGCGCCTGATGGTAAGCTACACGTCTGTCCATAACAGTTGCAGTGCCACTCAGAGCTTTAAATCGCAAAAATCTGAAGGGCACTGCCACTGCGCCAGTCAACCTGACAAGTCTCACGTGCCTGTAATTTCAACAGCACCCTTACCCTTCAAAACCGCAACACAGTAATGGTGACATTGTTTTGAAAAGGGTGCTGGTGAAATTACAGGCACATGGAACTTGTCAACTTATGTTTCAGGGTGATAGGTGCACTTCCCTCTGACTGGAACTGCAACTGCTATGGACAGGCATATCGATTAACAATCCCGTTCCTTGGAATCATAAAGAATATATACGCAGTTGCTTGAAGGGCTGGATTTAGCATTCGATTTGGCCTAGGGGTGCACCATTTCGAGTGACGTTCAATGTCAGGGACACTCGCTGTATAAAATAAGTATATAAAAAATTTTGGGCCTAGGAACGTTCATACTCTAAATCCGGTCCTAAATGGTTGGTGTTGGCTCCAAGGTAACGCGTACACGGCGACCAACAGGCAGATTCAGGTAACCTTATTTGTATAATGGTGCATTTTAAAAATGTTATATAACAAATTAGTGTTTACAGTGAAATGATAAACGAGGAAATACGCTAAGTCACACGAAACAACGAGGCATCTAGGCGACTAGTTCTGCCCTTATCATAACTAACGTAATCGACATTTTTAGCGATATCTTGTTATAAACATATCTGGGACCAGCAAAATGAGATCAACAACCCCCTCTAATCGGTTTTTTAAATATTTTATTTAGTTTCAGTTTTATTGTTAATAGGGCATCGATCTTGGTAATCGATTTTAGGTATTCTATGCGCTCCGTGTATGTGTGCGTGTAGCATACGTTTTTAAAGTCGTGTGTAAGCCCAAGTGGCACAACCTTTATGTCAGACGTCATGGACGTCTGCGTCCGAAACAGGACTAAAGCGGACAGGGGGAAGCGTGTGGTGGCGCTGGCTACTACGGGACGGACTTTAGGTATTTCAATATTATAATATATATAATGTGATAACCTTCCGAGAAGTATTTACGTCGTACCAAGGGTTTATTTTGTTGTTAGAGATAACTTGGGATTTTTTCTATCGACTAACTACGAGTAATCGTGTTTCTAGAGAGTGATTCATAGATTGAATGAATTCTTAAATATGTTATACATTAATTTCATAACTCAAGCTTTAAGTATTAAAGATACATCAAGGGATTAAACGAACGCAATTATTTCACGATTTCGTATCGCTGCCACGGTGCAGTGAAGCTGAATTATACTTTTAATTGAAAATTTTTAGGTGACAAAACTTAAGGTGTCAGTATCTCGAAAGTTACCCCGAGATGCAAATGCGTTAATCATGACAAGGAGGGTAGAGTTGTTGTGGAGATCTTACATAAAAAAATAGTCTATAACATTATTATACTACCCAATTTCGAGGGATCCTAACTTTAACATAGAGATATGTAATAAGAATTTGGGTCCCTAATTTGGGCGTCTTATATATAAGTTAATAAGAGCGGCGCCTTAACTAGTAAGGACCACGCCCACCCTTGACCCAGGGTCCTTGATATCAGATAGTGTAATAAGCATTTAAGGTTTCCTGATTCCTTTATAATATAGTCACCTATTACCTCCGAAAACCCAGTAAAACTACAATGGAGAAACACGCAATGTACTTTAAAATATATTAAATGTAATTATGTGCTTCAGGCTCAAGCAAGTATACCCTCACTTTTGTATGAAAATCGTATTCTAGACACCATACGGTCACTTATAATACAATATACCGATAAAGAATGCCCCTATTTTATTATAATATACACTGAGCGTGTACGTGGTCATAGGAATAATATTGTCTGGATCTGAATCACTTCACATGTTATAAACATTTTGACGTGGGTACAGTTAACAGCACTTCAAGCAATACACTTGTTTGAATTTCGCTTCCAGTACCCTTGCACTGTGTTCCCTTCAACAAGCGGCACTATTCTCGAAGCACGTAATCCGTAGTTACGGCCGTTTTCTAACCATGGAAGACCTACGGAACTACTCTGAAGTCTGTCCACGAAAAAACGGGGTCTGTTCTCTTCTGTGTAACAGACCCCTGTTTGATGCTGTCAAATCGCGTTCTTAGTTCTAGCCCCGATCGAAATTCAAGTCTGTTGGTAATCCATAGTGGAAACGGCCGTAACTACGGATTTCGAGCTTTGAGAGTAGGGCCCAAGGACCGTCAATGTTTAGCTTGATGTGCTGCCGTCTGTACTTTGGCCTTTACGAAGATAACAAAGTTGTCAATTTATTACAGCTAGCAGTTCGCTTTGAATTTTCAACTACATTCTGACGTATAACTCACATGCATGAATTAAAAGCAAATGGAAATTTTAATAACAAAGTTTCCTGCTGGAACCTGAATAAATATATTTAGCGTGACAGCTGCCGTTATGTTTCAATGTAATATGAGAGAAAGAGAAAATACGAAAGATCGCGCAGCTCTCTTATATAATTATATACATTATAGCATAAGGATCAAAATACAAACATACTAAGTTGCTTTATTAATTTGCAGTTTGGGGAACAGCAACTATAAATTCTAATTATAGTAACACTTAAGACATCAATAAAGGCAATTTAAGATTTTGCTTCTACGATTTTTGGCAAATCTCAATTTTTAGTTCCTTATAAATAGATCCTAGTTGATGTATTTAAATATTTGTACGGACTTCTAAAAGCTGAATATGTGTGGTTTGTTTGTCGAAGTAGAATAAATACTAACATTTATAATTCTTTTTTTAAATACTGTGTATATTAGATACTTAAATATATTGTCTCAGATTTTACAAAGCTATAAAACCTTTGAACTATATCTAAAGCTGCAGTCTAGAAATGTCAAGTTACATCCTATCTATTGCTATCGTTTATAGAAATATGTATAAATAAATACATCTTAGGAGATTGACTAAACCATTTTCAACATTTTGCAAACTTACAACAATAAAATTATATTTATAGGATCTCCAGATCACAGTGCCGAATTTGCGGAAACTTTTTCTGAAAAACAAAACATAAATATAATTCTGCTGCATCAACCCGTCTTCCGTAGATGTACACTAAGCGCAGGCCACACCGCGAACGAAGCTAAGGTAAATTAGCTTAACTGACGTAGCTGCATGCAACCAACTATGCGACCTTAGTTCGGTTAGCTTAGTTCGCGGTGTGAACAGATGATGTAAACATGCCTGTGTGGACTGCGCTTAATTTACACTTGTACTTTTGACTCATCGTGGAGATAGGAGCGATATATTGTGAATCACTGACACGTATCATGATCTCTTAAGGCATAATTTACATTGGCACGGAAAAGAATGTAGGCGAATTTTTGTAAGGAAATTGGACATAGCTCGGAAACAATTGGGGGACGTTGACGCTGTCCAGGGGATTCTACCGCGTTTGGAAAAAAAATTACTGAATTATCTATACATATAAACTACACTACATACATATATAATTTTTTTCCCTTGTGATTTTTGTGTTAATATAAAAAAGCGTGTTTTAAGCGTGTAAATTATATTGTGGTGGTAGGCGTTGAAAAATTTTTATCTTGCCTAAGTGGGCGTTGAGCCAAAAAGTTTGGGAATCTATGTCGTAGATGGTAAAATGTATGTTGCTTTGCTCGTTTTAAAGCGTCTCAGCGTCGTCGCGCCGTCTGGTTGCGGCAATTTGAGACGACCTTAATTAGGAACGTAAAATGTGTTTCGAAGACTTTGTATGAAGCGCCTTGTCTACATTTATTTGGTGTATCAACACCAAATAAATGTAGACAAGGCGCTTCATAATGACATGATGGAGGGCGTTAATTTAGCTAAACTAAAGAATAATGTGGACCTTACCTTCTACAAATCCCGGGTCTTCTCGGAACTGATTACATTTGAATATAATCAGCAAAAAAAAAAGGCAAATCTGCCACAATTTTTTTTTCCTATGTGGATTAGGTATGAAGTTACCGTAAGAGAAAAGGGCGTAAGTACCCACACTTTTAAGGTCAAACTAAGTTAATTGGACGCATGTAGAAAATAAATTGGTAAAAAAGCGTAATTGCCTAAATACATAATTTTGTTTTAATTACACATTTCAATCACTTAAGTAAATGAAAAGGCGCAAGTCACATTTAAGTTTCTATCTTCTTCAGTTAAAACTGTACATATATGTATGTATTTACCGAAAAATGTTAATTTCCCAGGTGATAGTTACACAATGCTTACATAAATTTAAAATAAAGTGAAAATGTTACCTCTTATTTAATGTCATAAAAATTTTAAATATGTTAAGCTTTTAAAAATGTTTGGGGTGGTTTGGGATCTACCTCCTAGTGGTCCACCCCGGGCAACGGCACCTTCTGCCTCATTAGCGGGTGGTGACGGCTGAACGATCTCACTTTGCGGTGGTAGGCTCCGCAAGGGGCCGGCTGGCTTGCTACCACCCTTCCGTCGAAGTCAGGCGCCAAGTAGCTTGCTGCGTTCCGTCTGTGTGCGGAAGTACCAGTGCCTTTGTGGAAATTTGAGGGTGTTTGTTGCGCCGCTTAGTACCGGTCTTGGACTCTGAGATAAGCAGTACCGGGTAACTCATTCTGGAGGGTAGCGGGATCCGAGGCACGGTCCTGCCGTTGGCCGACCGCAGGCAGTAGGGGGCCCAAGTAGCGCGCCAGGCACGTGCAAAAGGCTGCCCCGCCACCTCGCGAAAAATCCCGAAATGCTCCACCGTGCCAGTTGGCGACTGGATGGGAGGACCCGGTGGCCATTTCGGGGGGGCTCGGGCGTCCCCGCAGTCTCCATGTGAGTTCCCCAATGGGCAGCTATCTTAAGAGATCCTATTGGTCAACTGAGTGGCGCCTGGAACATCAAATTTTTTCCCCACCAACACCACCAACCACCATGAAAATAAAAAGTCATAAGAAGAGTAAGTTTAAACAACGGCTGCACTTCCTCCCAATGAAGGTGCACCTCACTAACATCCGAGGCCTGCACTCTAACCTTGATCCGGTCCACTACCACCTAGAGACTGAGAAGCCGCACCTATTCTTCTTAACGGAGACGCAAATAGTAACACCGTCTGACGTTGCGTACCTCAACTACCCAGGATACTCGCTTGAGCATAAATTTCTGCAGCGAGCTGGGGTTTGCGTATGCGTACGTGACGACATTTGCTATCGGCGTCTCCGTTGCTTTGAAAGTAACGGGTTTTCACATGTATGGATTCTGGTGGACACAGGAATGGAGAAATATCTCTATATCTGTGTCTACAGATCGCACAGTGGTGACCAGGAGACAACTAAGCTCTTCGTCCACTTAACTGAGATGGCAGATAAAGCCCAACAACGGTACCCTTCAGCAGAGCTTATTTTTCTCGGGGACTTTAATGCTCACCACAGTGAGTGGCTGTTTCCGTACGTAAAAACAGACCATGCTGGGAGGGAGGCGCGCAAATTTGCATTATCGCTAAATCTCACCCAGCTGGTAAGCCAAGCAACGCGGGTACCGGATGTTGACGGACATGCAGCCAATTGTTTGGACCTTCTGTTGACAACAGATCCACACGGTCACTCGGTTTCGATCTCGGCACCGCTGGGAACATCCGACCACTGTGTGGTGAAATCCGTGTCGACTTACTCTCCTCCTGATGACTGTCCAAGAGGTACAAGAAGAGTATGGCGATACGAGTCAGCAGATTGGGATGAGATGCGGCACTTCTTTGCGTCTTATCCTTGGCGGCAAGTCTGCTTTTCCTCGGGTGATCCCTCGTGTTCTGCTGATGCGGTTGCAGATGTGATCCGGCAGGGAATGGAGTACTTTATTCCATTCTCCGACATTCCACTGGGTCACAAAGCCCGACCTTGGTATAACGTGGACTGCGCACGTGCTGAGGCCCGTAAGCAGTCTGCTTACCAAGCATGGGTACAAGCTCGCGACCGCAAAGTTCGAGCCCGGAGGGTTCGCGCGAGAAAGAGAGCTTTTAATTCTGCCGCCAAGTCCTGCAAACGCGAATTCCGGAAGGCTAGATTCAACCATATCAGCAGGATCGGGACCAGGCTTGCATCCTACCCTCCTGGTAGCAAGCAGTTTTGGTCCCTGTCCAAAGCAGTTGAATCCAACTTCTGCCGTCCCACCTTGCCTCCCATGCAAAAACCTGACGGATCACTGGCTCACTCTGCAACGGATAAAGCAAACTTATTTGCTGCAATGTTTGCAAGCAATTCGCATCTAGATGCAGGCTCAAAACATCCACCAAACTTACCTCGTTGTGACACTTCAATGCCGGAGGTCACAATCCACGCAAAAGAGGTTCGTAGAGCTCTGCGAAGTCTAGATGTGAATAAGGCCAGTGGTCCTGATGGTATACCAGCACGGGTACTGAGGCTTTGCGCGCCTGAGCTAACTCCTGTACTGACGTGTCTGTACCGCCTCTCACTAAAAACGAGAATAGTGCCTAAATCATGGAAGCTTGCAAATGTGCAACCAGTCCCTAAAAAGGGAAGCCGCGCCGACCCCTGTAATTACAGACCAATCGCCATAACTTCCATACTCTGCAAGGTTATGGAAAGAGTTCTGAACGGTAAGCTGCTATCATACCTTGAAATAAATGACCTACTCAGTGATCGTCAATATGGCTTCCGCCGGGGACGATCAACTGGGGATCTTCTCGTGTATGTTACGCATTGCTGGGGCGAGGCCATCGAGAAACACGGTGAGGCACTGGCCGTATCGCTCGATATCTCAAAGGCCTTCGACAGGGTTTGGCATGCAAGTTTGCTGAGCAAGCTTCCTGCTTACGGCATCCCTGCCGACTTTTGCAGCTGGATATCAGATTTCCTTGGGGAACGGTCGATTCGAGTAGTCATTGAAGGCTGCTCATCTGACTTGATGGCTATTGATGCTGGAGTTCCTCAAGGGTCTGTTCTCTCGGCGACTCTTTTCCTGCTACACATCAATGACCTATTGGTCCCGGGTATAGTTGGGTATGCAGATGACAGTACAGTTACCGAGAGATATCTGTCTAGCGCAGGAGACGGCAGGGAAGATATTCGTTCGCTGAGAGAGGCCATGGTAGAGCGAACGAACCTGACCTTAAGTCTTGTTGCCCAGTGGGGTGACAACAATCTGGTCAGCTTCAACGCCACCAAAACGCAGGCCTGTCTTTTTTCCGCAAAAAGGAGTCCATTTGATCTGACTCCTACTTTTCGGGGTGTATCTGTCCCAGTTACCGACCGCCTAGAGCTTCTTGGCACGACATTAAGCGCAAACCTCAACTTTGGCGCTTCTATAGAGTCTAAAGCGCAAACTGCAGCCAAGAAGCTGGGTATCCTTAACAAGGTGAAGCGATACTTCTCGCCTGGACAGCTTTTAACCTTATATAAAGCGCAGGTCCGGTCTTGCATGGAGTATTGCAGTCACCTGTGGGATGGCTCAGCGAAATACCAACTAGAGGCTCTTGACTCGATTGATCGCAGAGCCAGGAGGCTTATTGGCGACGATGAGCTCGAATATAAACTTCATAGTTTAGCCCATCGGCGAAAGGTCGCGGGTCTGTCGGTTTTTTACAGATTATACTTCGGAGAGTGTGCCCATGAGCTCCACCAGCTCATTCCATCCGCCCCCTTTTACCATCGGACATCTAGACGAACGGCGGGATATCACCCTCACCTGGTTGATATTCCTTTAAGTCGTACTAAGCGCTTTTCGTCATCTTTTATAATGCGCACAGCCCGTGACTGGAATTCCCTGCCTGCGTCTATTTTTCCGAGTACATACAACCCGAATATTTTCAAGGTGCGATTGAATAGGCATCTTCTGGGCGAGCTCGTACCAACGTAGACCTCTTCTTTGCTCTAGGGCTAGGTAGTGGTCAAGAGTTCGTCCA